CCTGTGATCCCCTTAGTCCGTCTATGATACTCACGCACAAAAGTGATAAGCATTGTCAATGATTGTGATTCCCTCTCAATGTCAAAGAGTTTGTTCAACGCGCAAGTGGCAACGGCGTGGCGCAATACTCTGCAGACATGTTCTGTGGGAAGACGTCGCGCTCCCGGCGCAATGACGGTTCTTTCAGACATTACAAGCAACCGGGCGGAGTGGGACAGCCGTCAACGAGATCCTGTCAGTTGCTGATGTGCCGTTCTTGTAGGGGACATCCAAACAGCTAGTAATTTTCCTGGGCCCGATGCGGCATAGTAATCACTCAGGTACTTTCCTAGTGCAGATTGGGAAGATCCTGTTACAGTTTGAGGTTCGCGTGTGGTAGCGGACAGGCTGGGAACCACCTGTTACACGCGGGCCAGGACCGAGACAGTGTTACTTGTAACAGATTTGATGTGTGATGGAATATGATGTGATAGACCGAAATTAACAATTGCTGATTCCCGCGATTGTCGAAAAGTGGTTCGACTTCAAACTATTTTGAGAATGCTGTCAAGTAGTTTTGGGTGAGCAACTGAACAGTGTATTGATGTGTTGTGATTTTTTGCTTTTGTAGTGACTATTCTATAAATATCGCACGGGGACGTGTTCCTTCCGTTTTTGCTCAGTTAAATAATTTTACACTGTCGCACAGGCAGAACAGGTAGCGCGTGTGATGCTTTTCGTGATGGGCTAGGTTTGTGCAGCAATTTTGGTAGAACTATTATGCGCTGATTGTCTGGTTTGTCTTCTTCACGTTCGATCGCAACCCTGGAATGGCCATAAATGTAGGCTGTCTATTTTGAGTTTTAAGATGATTGAGTAATACTGGTGGTAGACCTTTGTATGAACATAGTTACTTATTGTCAGTTTTAATTTGCCAGGAAAGGCTTTATATGTTAGTTTACACCTACTCGTGAAAATGGCGGCACGTATGAGAAACGAATGTATGTAAATGTCGTACGAGTGTCAGCGAATCTGTAATGGATCGCGTTCAACGATTCATGCCAATGGTTCATTTATTTTGCCATTCCAGTATCAAAACAACAGTATAGCAGTTATATTCTCATTAATAGCTCTTACTTGTATTCTAATGTCAACAATATGCTCAATTATGATTATGATTATGGCTTCCTTATGTTTCAGTTTCACTGCTGTTTCGTTGCGACTCGCAAAAGTCTGTCGAGACATACAAGTGTGATTCGTCTCTACTCGTTCGCTAGCTGACTGCGGATAATATGCATATGTATACGTGTAGTGGTCACATGTACATTTTTACACGTTGATGGTATATGCTGGTGCATTGCATGTGTACCATAACATGTGTATGAAACGTATAATAAGTGTATGTACACTGTACATTTACACGTTGATGTGTATATGGCATTGTGCATGTGCATGTGTACATACATGTGTATGTGAAACGTATGTGTTTGTACATGCTCACTTTACATTGATGTGTATAGTGCAGCTGCATGTGCGATGTGTACATAACATAGTGTAATGTGAACGTATGTGGTGATGTGTATGTACATGTACATGTTACACCGTTGACCTGTGTTATGCATTTTTGTACATGTGCATGTGTACACTTACATGTGTCATGTTCATGAAGTCTGTGATAATGTGGCTGTACATTTAACCAGTTGATGTGTATCATTGATGTTGATGGTGCGATGGATGTACAATTACACTGGTGTATGTGAAGCCTCATTATAGTGTATGTACATGCTACATTTAACGTTGATGGGTGTGTATATGCCCACATGTACATGTGCATGTGTTAATCAATGTTGTAATAGTGAACGTATATAAGTGTGATGTTACATGTTACATTTACCACGTTGGATGTGTGTATATGCATGTACATTGTGCCTGTGTACATACATGTGTATCGTGAAGTATGTGTAATCATACATGTACTTTACCACGTTGATGTGTGTATATGCACATGTCCCATGTGCATGTGTACCATACATGTGTATGTGAACTTGTATTAATGTATGTGCATGTACATTTACACGTTGATGTGATAGCATGGATTAGAGAATGTTGCAACATATATGTACATATCAGGGTGCGGAAGGATGAACGGCGGGTCGCGGAGTCAATACTTCCCCATGACTTTGCTGTTCGGGACTCCCCTTTATATCTCGCACATAGGCAGAAGCTACGTGTGACTCCTGAAAATTGACCCTGCATTTATCATACATTACCAATCTTTCACAGCTAATGGTCAAAGAAATTGGGCGCACATTACCTGTGCAACGCATAAATCGTAAAAATAACGCACATGCGTGGTATCTTTAATTTTGAACCTCGACTGCTGGATCTCCTCTCATGTCTTCGCTGACGGACTCCCTTCTTTTTGAGGGTAGGGAGTCCGTTCGGACTGCCGTGTTCAAAATACTAATTGGCTACCCCGGCTGCATATGCATGTGTACATATACGTACATGTGTATGTGTCAACTGATGGTGCTCAATGAACATCTATCACTCTACCTATGACACTGCATGGACTTGCAATGAAGGTATCCATACTTTGACAAAGCTTTATCAAGTATCTTGTCTCCTACTGTCTTCATTGAAACTGTTTCAAATGAAAGAAATAGAGTAAGTAAACGTAAAAGAATTGGTTTTCGTATAATTGAAGAACAAATAGTAAAAAGCGATCTCTATCCGCGTGAACGCATGTTGAGTTTAGCTTTGCTTCTATTCTAAAATATCTAAACGTGCAAATCACTGCCGCCCCCTACTGACACAATATTGGGAGGCATGTATTATTCAATGAAAATTTTGTCTTGCACTCTGTCATTATTTTGTGTTTAAAAATGAATTGGGGAATAATATTCGAGAGCTGGTGACACTCATTGTGTTGGCAACTCGGTCTGTAATTTCATAATCGATCATCGGGTTGCACCCCAAGTAACGAGATCGGTTACAATCGTGCTTACTTTCTGGCGGCTGTCGTTCGCAATGCCACTGCCTTGTGGCCGTAACGTTTCCATGTCGCGGCATGTACCTCACACCCGTGCTAGCTGACGGGTCTGTCATTGTGCTGCTGTATTATAGCCCTGCTTTATGTTCTCCCCTGTTTTGCACTGTGACTATCTGTCGTGTGATAATAATGTACTGGATTCTATCATTTTCCAAGTTTTCTTGTTCAATGAAAAAAAAGTAAAAAAACAATTTTTTTTTTCGATTAAACTCGATTATGGATTTGTGGATAACAAGCGCTTGCGTTCGAAGCAACTGTATCACCGTTTCTAATCTTAGCTGAAGCGGGACGTATATGGTGATATCACGTCAATTATGTCCAATGCAAAAGACCAGAGTTAACAATAGTGAAAAGGGCCAGTGCAAAATCCACCGAGAGTAGATGGGAGAGACGGGCGCAGCCGTAGAATAGTCACTCTTGTTCGAATCTTGTTGGCTGGTAATCGAGCCTTTCATTGCTATTACTTACGTGCACATTTAAGATCGGGGAGAAGGCGTTGTTCACCAAGGAGCTGGAAGTGGCATTGGAAGAGAAGGCAGTTGACCTGGTGGTTCACTCGCTCAAGGATCTCCCCACCGTCCTGCCGCCCGGGATGGTAATAGCCGCCGTGTGCAAGTAAGTTTAGTTTCCGCTTCTACTCCGCTGCAGACATCTCGATAGGTAGACCATTAGCTAGGATTGAGAAGGTATAGAGAAGGATAGAGTGGTTGCCTGAAATGAATGGTGCTTGTGTCCAAGCAAAGCGAGTGCCAAAGGCACTTTTCATCTTCGAGGGAAGTGCTATACCTTTCCCTCCCAGGACCATTTTTACGGAAAATTCTCGGTGTGTATTCTGAGGTATTCTCTGTAATAAAAACAGCTTTATATTTTGACCGTTTCTTTTCTCGTTTTTTCAGACGTGATTCTCCGGAAGATGCAGTTGTTCTTCATCCTAAGCATGCCGGGAAGACTCTTTCTCTGCTGCCAGAGGGCAGGTGAGTAGGAAAACCTGACGGCTGTGGGAAAAATTACAGCCGACTGAAACTGGAATGGTTTCTCGTCTTTAATTTTGTGTCACTGCACTGAAAGTCGCGGCAGCCATATTGGCTTGAAGTGCAATCTTCCTCTAAGGACGTACATCACATATTTTTAAATATTTATGTCACATGAACATGCTATTAGTCCCTACCAATAAAAAGGTTCTACGAGTGGCTGTGTTAGCACACAACCCTTGTTATACATTACATACAATACCATATGTCAATCCGTGCGAGTTTATAGCTTTCAAGTAGCAGGAACCATCGATTTCTCCAACATTTGTTTATGCGTGACACTGTCGACCCGACAAGTAATGGTCTCTCCGTCGGCCAGTAAAAAACAGCGCTCTTCCATCCGTCCTTCCCATCCTCACCCATACGAAAAGAAACAGCAGGAACCGATGTGGATCAAAGCTAACGAGAGTTCAGTCATTGTTCTCTTGTTGCAGCATCGTTGGCACGAGTTCTCTCACAAGTGTCTCTCTCTCCGTCGGCCAGTAAAACACGGCGCTCTTCAAGCCACCGCTGCCCTCGCCCATGAGTTAAGTAACAGCGTGACCAGGCGTGAGTCGAAGCTAACGAGAGTTCCGTCGTAGTTCTCTCTCGTTCTCAATCGAACCGACGTGGATCGAAGCTCTGGTCGTTCTCTCGTGGTAAAAAAACGCGCTCTTCGAGTCGCCCTTCCCACTGCCCTCGGCCATGAGTTAGGAATGACGGTGATCGAAGCTAGTCAGCGTTGTTCTCTCCATGTTGTTCTCTTGTTGCAGCGTCGTTGGCACGTCGTCGCTGCGCCGCGTCGCGCAGCTGCGGCGAGCGTTCCCGCACCTGCGCTTCGACGACGTGCGCGGCAACCTGAACACGCGGCTGCGCAAGCTGGACGATGGCGCCACCTACGATGCGCTCGTGCTCGCTGCCGCCGGACTCGAGCGCATGGGATGGAAGGATCGCATCGCGCAGGTGCGAGCGAGGGAGCGTTGCGGCACGTTCGCGGACGAACAACGTCGGATTTTACGGGCGGAAAAATCTGAGTAAACGTATTACTGCATACTTTCTCACAGTTATTGTACGGTGTTCCCGATCTGCTTGAGGCACGTACGCACACACCCGTATGCACGCACACGCGCATGCACACCCACACGCGCACACCTCTATCTGCGAACCCACTCAAAACTCTGCATTTCCGATTCTCAGCATCTCACCATACACACACACGCACGCACGCACGCACACACACATACACACATCACGCACGCACGCACATACACCGACCTGCCGGTGAACCCACTCAGAACTCTGCGTTTCTGATTCGCAGCGTCTCACCGAAGAGGAGAGCCTGTACGCCGTTGGACAGGGGGCGCTGGCTGTCGAGTGTCGGGCGGACGATGCGAGCACGATAGCGATGCTGGCGCAGCTTCATCACACGACCACGCTGCTGCGATGCGTCGCCGAGCGCGCCTTCCTCAAGCAGCTGGTGAGCGACTGGTGGCGCCGCCATCCGCTCTGCCTCCGACATTAACAATTTTTTTAATATTATTATTATTGTTGTTATACTTATTACTATTATTATTAT